CGGCAGATCCGCGCCCGCCGCCACAATCCCCGCAGAAGGCAGCGGCCGCGGGGACTTGGGCGGCGGGGTGAAGCCTGGCGCCTGGTCCTCGTCGCTGGCGGCGCCGCCGACATCGCAGCCGGGCCAGGGGATGACGTCACTGGCGCCCGGCGCCATCCCTGGGGAAGCACCTGCCGCCGCCGACGCCTTCTTGGGCGGCACCAAGGCGCCGCCCGAGGTGCTGGCGGACGGCAGGAGCGGCGCCGCCGCGGCCGCGGGCGGCGCGCGTTCATCCCCGTCGGCGCGGTCGCCGCCGAGCGCCTCGCCTTCCGTCATCGCCACCCCAGGGCGGCGGCTCGCCCCGTCCTGCCGCCGGCCGGCCCCAGCATCCGCGCCTGCAGCGCTCCCGTCTGCTTGCTGCGGCGCAGCAGCTCCTGGGCTTCGAGACGCGACCCTATCCTCTTCCTCCGCCCCTAATCCGGACCCCTGGCTGCCGCCCTCTCCTGTGAGCGTGCGTGCCACGATGTGCACCCACTCGCTGCTCGGGCTGGGCGCCAGGTGGCTGGCCGCGCTGCCATGAGTGGCCGTGTTGGACAGCGGCGGCGCGGCGGAGGGGCTGGTGCTGGCTGAGGCGGTGGCGGAGGCGCCTCCTGCTTCGTGTGTCGGCGGGGCGCGGGGGGAGGGGGGACGGCCGTTGCAAGATGCATGGGATGCTGGTACAGCTTTGATGCTTGCAGTCGTGTGGCGGCGCATCAGCGCAGACTTGAGGCTATGCAATAAACCCAATATGCGTGATGACATAGAGGAACGATTCGGCGGCCGCTGGCGGCCGCACGGCTCCGCAGCATGGGGTGTGGGCGTTACTCAAGTGACTCCACACCTCAAACACCGACTCACCCGTGTGCACGACGATGCTCGGAAGCAGCGCGGGCGCGGACGCTGCTTTGTGGGCCGGCTGCACGGCCGTTCCGGTTGCCGCGGGCTCCTGGGGGGCTGCGAAGGGAGACGACAGGGCGTCTTGGGCTGTCACTGCTGCGGGTTTGCGTGGGGGGGCGGAGATGGATAAGTCAGGGTTTGCGGGTCCGGGAAACTGGCTCCTGCTGAGATCGCTGCGCTGCACATGTCAAGGCGCTGCCCACGGCTCCATTGTTAGCAGTGACGGGGCGTCGCACCGCACAAGGAACAGCCGCGCACGACCGAACACTCGCGCAACGCAGCGGCCGATTGCACACTTGCCCATGCAGCGGAGGCGCTGGCGTGCCCTGCAACATGGGCGGGGGCCAGTTCTGCAGAAGCGCGCACCCGGGGGGTTGGTGATGTCCCCTCCTTCAGCCGGACCCAACAGGGGGCCCAGATTCGGCTCCGCAGGGGGACCGGCTGCAGCGGAGGCGCCGCGGGCTGCAAGCCGCCCGTGGCCTGCGGATGTGGCCGACGCGAGCGGCGCCTTGGCCTCATCCTGGGCTCCTCCCTTGTCCGAGGGAGCTGCGGCGGCACGCGCGGCTGGGGAGGTGCGACAGGGGTGGGTGGGGGGTCCTGTTCAGTCGAAGCTGGTGAGGCAATCTAGCTAGCTCAACTGCTTGCCTGATGTGCATCAATTAGGAATGCAAAGATTTAGTCGAACTCGGGCATGCCCCGGGCAAAGCACACACCTGCAGCAATCAGCTCCTGCTGGCCGGTTGCGGCGCTGGTGGCAGTGCTAAAGCTGGCCTCGGAAACTTCCGGCTCTGCGGCCGCCGCCGCCCACCCGGGTGCCGCTGGCGCTGCTGGCGCCGCCGCGTGCGCGCCGCGCCGCGAGAGCAGGGTGGCGGTCGCGTCGATATCCTGGGCCAGCCCGGCGCCCGCCGGCCACGGCACCGCGGCGCACAGCGCGGCCGGCGCGCCGCGCTCATGCGCGGCAGCAACGAGCGGCATCAGGGGCAGGCGGCAGGTGGAGATGCGCTCGTAGCCGCGGAGGCCGGCGCCGCTGAGGTGGCGGAGGAGGCCGACGTTGGGGACAGGGGCTGCGCCGGTGCGCCGGCCGAAAAGGGTCACGTTGACATGCTGGGAAGTTGGGGGGTGTGAGCTTGGTCACTTGAGATACGCATTTATTCAATGCTGCAAACATGAATTGTGGCAGCAACAAGGCACGACCCATAAGCATGCGCCTGCATGACAGCACCCTGCAGATGGAAGCCTGGAGCTTGCCAGAAGCAGCGCTGCGCCAGCGGGAACTGCAGCTGCGTCGGACGCCGCGGCGCACCTTTCCAGAATACACACGGCAGGAGAAGGCCAGGCTTGAGACCTGGGCTTCGCCGCCCTGCACGGCTGCATCGGCGGCGCCGTATGCTTTGCCGCCCTCATGTGTGATCACAAGGCGGCAGCGCTCATAGTCTGCTGGAACTCCCTTGATCGCCGAGGGGCCCAGCACGAGCCTATAGCGGCCCTTTCGAGCGCTCATACGTCACAAATCAAGCAGCAGCGCCTCTGGTGGCGTTTTTCGGCGCGGACGAGATCGCGGGCTACGCTGTCGTCAGACTTGTCTGTTGACTATGAGGACTCTGATGACTTTTGAATGGCTTGCTCCAAAACTTATGGTGTCGGGCAAGCAGCAAACAAGGTTGCCCCGGCAAAAATGGAAGGTCAGTTGGGCCGCCGCGGCCGCGATGTGTCATCGCCGTTCAGGCACCAAGCATCCCACAACACAAAAGCAACAGGCGAAGAAGGACAGACCAACTCCAATATAATTTTTGCAGCACCTCGGCCCTCCCCTTCACGCCTCCAGCATCCGCGCCACGATCTGCTCCTGCTCAGCCGACTCTTCCTGCAGCGCCGCCGCAAGCGAATCCGCCTCAGCCAGCATGCGCGCCAACTCCGCCAGCTCACCCCTCAGCGCAGCGCCGCGCTGCTCACGGCGATCCACAGCCGCGCGCGCCGCCTCGCGGGCGGCCGCAGCGCCTTCCAGGGCGCGCTCCAGATCCTGTGCGCCCTGAAGCTGCAGGCGGCAGTTGGGAGGAATGTGGAGGTGTTGTTTGGGGGGGGGGGGTGGGGGGCAGTTGTCATCAGGCAGCTGTGATTGAGGGTCGGCGCCAGCCTTGATAACGGCCTCCGATGCAGGCAGGACATGAGCGGGCATCGAGCTGTGAACCGTTCAGGCAGTCGGCAGCAGGTCCCGCGCCAAGCGCACCTCCACTTGCTGTGGGCCGGCCGCCGCCTGCCCATGACACTGCAGAGGCGCCGGCGGCGGCGACAAGACCACGCCCGCCTCCACCTGCACCGGCACATGGGGGTCGCGCCACTTTTGCTGCTGCTGCTGCTGCTGCTGCTGCTGCTGCTGCTGCTGCTGCTGCTGCCAGGGCTGCTTGCTGCGCGGCTGCTGGTGAACCTGCAGCCGCGGGGGTTTTCGGCTCGGCGTGCAGTGGGACAGCTGAACAGAGCTGCCGAACCGACTGTCCGAGGGCGAATGGCCCTGACCATCCCTCTGGTCAACGGCTCGCCGGCCGTCGTCCCAGCAGGCGCCACCACGACCCGCGTCCGCAGGCTGCCGCCACCCGTGCGCCAGCCGCTCCCGCTGCTCGCTGCTGTGAGGGGCACCCCTGCTGCACCGCGCCCCCAGGAGCTCTTCAGTGGTACACCAAACTGCTGTGCGGCCTCGCGCCTCAGCCAGACCGCTGGTGCTGCGGTGGCTGCCGCCGCCATACCCCGCGGCGGCCGCCAATCTGCGGCTGACCTCGTGGCACGGCAGCCGCATGTGGTGCGGGCACGCGGTGAAGCAGCAGCCAGGGCAGTCGTCAGAGCCGTCGTCGTCGCCCATGGCGACCAAGTTGGTCGCCTGGAGCTCAGCAACCATGTCTCCCTTGACCTCGTATTCCCAGGGCCTAGCTGGGTAGACGTCTGTGACTGACACAAAGGATGGCGGCCCCTGCACCTGGGTAGACGCCGGGCGATCGCACCCCGCAGCCGCCTCTGCCGCCGCCGCCGCCGCCGCCGCCGCCGCCGCTGCTGCTACGCTGTCACCATCCCACATTGCCGCGTCCGCGCCCCAGCCGCCCTCCTCGGCCGTGCCGTCGCAGCCGCAGCCGTCAGGCTCGATCCTGCCGCCGCAGCCTGCCAGCGTAGACAGGATGAGCTGCGAGAGCTCGCGGGCGCTGTCGTCGTTGCCGCTGCAAGCCCCCAAAGGCTGCTCGCCTGGCCCGCACAGCGTTGCTGCTGCGGCGCAGCACGCGGTCTTGCCCTGCTGCCTCTTTCCCAGGCTCGCGAGCGCGGCCGCCGCGGCGGCCCCTGTGGCAATCGCAAACGCCAGGGCGTCCGCTGCGCCGCGCCCTGCTGGCGTGGCGGCAGTCAAGGGACCATTCCTGGTCTGGGGCTCCGCCTGCTGCTGGGCGGCAGCTGGCTGCAGGGTGGCGGCAGGCCCACCTGGAGGGCAGGCCACAGCTGCAGCGGTCGCTGCAGCTGCAGCTGCCGCATTTGCAGCTGCCGCATTTGCAGCTGCCGCCACGTTCACACAGCCCGCTTGCTGCGACGTACCCACTGCTGCATCTGAATCGCCAGAGTCGTGCTGCACGCCTGCATCGGCTGTCTTGAGCTCGCTCGTTTTGCAGCCGTCACGCACGCCCCCCCGCTGCTGCTGCTGCTGCTGCTGCTGCTGCTGCTGCTGCTGCTGCTGCTGCTGCTGCTGCTGCTGCTGCTGCTGCTGCTGCTGCTGCTCTGGCGGCGGCAGCGGCGGCGCTGCGTCAAAGTGCGTGCTTTGTTCAGGCGCATCTGCAGAGGCCTGGTTGCTTGGCTCTGACAATAGGACTGCCCGCGCCTCGTAGGCCTGCTGCTCCAGGCTCTGCGCATCAACGTCGCCTGCCGGTTGCTCCAGTTGATGCTGCTGGTACCCTGTTGTATCCACAGTGTCACCTTCCTGCTGCTGCTGCTGCTGCTGCTGCTGCTGCTGCTGCTGCTGCTGCGGCTGCTGCATTCTCCGCAGCGCCGCATCAATGACATCCTGCAGCGGTGTGGTCTTGGGCCAGCCACAGCTGCTGCGTACCGGCTCCAGCTGTGCGTGATGGGCTGCCGCCTGGGGCAGGGGCAGCCTCACAGTGGATTCCGTGTCGATCACATCCCACATTGACGCCAGCAGGCGCTTTGCTGGTTCCAACCCCTCCACTCCCTCCGCTGCCAACGCAAGTGCTGCATCAGCGCTTTTGCTGGCAATCCCGTGGAACATCGCAGCTTGCCTCTTGCCACCCATCTCGCCAACGGCGGCAGCGTGACGCCGCATTTTGGCCACATGCAGGCGCCCAGCAGCGCGCAGCTTCAGCCTGGGCCTGCGGCGGGGCCGCGTCAGGCTGCGATGCGCACTGTTTGGCTCTGCTGTGTTGCGCTGGTGCGCGCCCTCGTTGGCAACGGCCGCTTCACTTCGCAGAGCCACCTGCCCTGTCGATTGTGGTGCCAAATCGGCCTGCACACTGCCGACAGCATTGCTCTCAACCCTTGCGCTGCTGGTGCCGTGGGAGCCGCCTGCTGGAGCTGCGTTGCTGCTGTTAGAGAGCACTGGCGTGAATGCCTGCTGGTCAGAATCGTCGAGACAACATGGCTCAGGGGTTGCGCGAGCCCCCGCACCAACAGGCGGCCCAAATGCAGCAGCTGGGCTGGGCTGCTGTTGATGCGCCTGCCTAGTTGGCGGTCTGCCAAAGGTGCGCGGCTGGCGCTCGCTGCCGCGATCGCAAAGCAGCTCCTGTGCTGGATGCGTCCAGCCGCTGGTCCACCTGCCGGCAGCGCCGTCCCAATCGCAAGCGCCCAGGAGCTGAGCTGTGCGCTGGCCCACCATCAGGCCACCGCCACCGCTGCCGCTGCTGTTTGGCTTGAAACAGCCAATGCGCCCGGCGCACAGCTCGTGCGGCGGGGCCAGCGTGTCATCCGCGCCCTGCTTGCCGCCGCCTCCGCCGAGCAGCGGCAGCAGCTGGGCGGCAGGCACACGCCCCGGCGGCAGCCTGCACAGCACCGGGGTCTGCGATTTGCCCGGCACCTTCTCCTGTTGGAGATGTGTCGGCCAGGATTGCAGCCCTGCCTCTGCTGACAGCACACATGCCCCTGTGTCTGCCAAAGGCTCCTCTGACAAGCTAGTCCTCGCTCTCAAACAGAGCGGCCGCCGCGCCTGCTGCCCGCTGCATCGGGGCTGCAGCCCAGGGAGGCGATACAGCACCGGGCCCCTCCGGCCACAGGGCAGTACGGTGCTGCAGCGTGCTGGCCGGGCGCGGCGGCGAGGCCGCCCTGGCGCAGGTCCAGTGGAATCTGATTGGGTGCTGCTGTCCTTGGCGCTGCGTTGGTCGTGCTCCGCGATGGGTGAGCCGCACGCCCCCCTTGGCCGAAGCAGGCGCACGCCAAGCCTGGGAGAGGCTGCATGCGTGCAAGTTCAAAGCGAGTGATCACTCCAGTGTTTGCACTGCTAAATATCCCCTGAGGTTCAGACGACACACTCCGGCACAAGATTGGCATGTCAGCGACGCCAGAAGGACATGTCACGCAACCATGAGCGTGTGCGCCCTGCCGCACCTTGTCCTGCAAACGCCTGGTCCAACTCAAAGTCCGCGAGGTTTGGAGCCAAGCACTTGACAAGGAGCCCTCGACGCGCCAGCGCAGCGGCGCCTCCTGCATCACTGGAAGCTCTGCGGTGGGTGGTCCGCCGCTCGCCATCGCTGCAACGCCATTCCTGGCCCACTGTTGCTGCAGCCACTGCTGCTGCTCTCGCACCCTTCGTGCCCTTTTGGCTGCACTCGGCGCTGCCTGTTGTGCTGCTGCGCAAGCTGCTGCTACAGATGCTGTCGACTCTTGCCACAACCTGCCGCTCAGCTGGGCCGTTTGTGCAAAACGGCTCTTCCCCTTGAGCCTCAATGCAGCCGCACTGCCGCCCAAATAAACCGGGAGTCTGCATCGGCGCTGTCTCGGCTGCCGCAGTGCTGGCTGGCGGCCCCTGCGCGGGCTCTTCTGGGCTGCTTGCAGCGAACAGCTTGCGTGCGGCTCGCGCCCACGGCTGGCATTGTTCTGCCGGAACGGCATCAGACCTGGCCAGCAGCGCCGCGTCCTCCGCGCCTGGCCACTCCGCCTGAACCGCTTTGCAGGCGGAGGCGGGGCTCCTGGTGGGCACGGTGTGTGCATGTAGGAATCCCTGCAGGCTGAATGTCAGGCCATCTATGCTCCTGGCAATTGCTGCTGCGGCACTGCTGCTGGCTGCTGCGGACGGCACGTGTGGTGTTGTGGAGGCGGCTGGCAGCCGCCGCTTCTGCTGCTGCTGCTGCTGCTGCTGCTGCTGTGGTTGCTGCCAATACTGCTGGTGTTGTAGAGGTGGCGCTGTTTGTTCCTGCTGCAACTTGGGTGGCGGACGGCCCGGCTGCTGCTGCTGCTGCTGCTGCTGCTGCTGCTGCTGCTGCTGCTGCTGCTGCCACCGCTGTTGCTTCCCCTGCGGCGCAGTGGTGGCCGCACCGCTGCCCGTGCCGCCTTGTGCAGCACGTGGCGAAGCTTTCAGGCGGGCGCCTACCTTCGCGCATGCTGGCGACAACTGCTGAGCCGCTGCTGCTGGCACCACTGTTTCTGCATGCAGAGTCTCCCCATGTGGCAAACCTCGAGGCAGCGGCTCGCACTGCGTGCGTGCCGCCGCCATGGGGAGATGCATCGCCGATCCCTCCGCCTCACCCTCTGCAGTCGAGCCACATTCAGACCCATCCCGCTTGAAGAGGCTGAAGACACCTCCCATGCGGCCGTTTCCGCTCCCCTTCTCGCCGCCCGCGTCGCTCTCGCTATTGCGGCGGAGCGGGTCGCCGCGGTGCGGCGGGCTGTCAGCAGCCCCCTGGACGTGCTGCTGATGGTCGTGCTGCTGTTGGTGCTGCAGACCGCGCTCACTGACGCCGCGCCTGAGGCGGTTGAACAGCGCCAGTGCAAAAAGGGGCCGCTGCTCGTCAGGCGCCGGGGATGCCGCAATCACTTCGGCAGCTGCCAGCTGCTGCGCCGCCATCATGGCAGCCTCCGCTGCAGTCGCATCTGCTAGGGCAGTAGCGTCGGGGTCTGAGGCTCTGGCCAGCTCCAGCCCCGTCGCCCAGCGCTCCCCCCCCAGCCCGCCTGCTGTGGTGGTGTGGGCTGCAGCTGGGGCGCAGCCTCAGGCTGACACGTGGACGGTGGCTCAGGTCCTGGCCCGTCCCCACTCAATGGCACATCCCCAGCTGCGTCGATGGCCCCGCGGCTGATCGAGCTCAGCCGGCTGAGGCCGCGCCTGCTTGCACCTGGCGACAGGGTCGGCCGCCGAGTGGCTTGCTGGTTCGCCGTAGCCGCTGGCGCCGCGTCCGCCAAATGCTGTGTGCCCTGCCCATCGGCTGATTTCAGGCTTGCCCTCGCAAGTTCGTGAGATGCCGCCATTTGTGACCCGAGCGCATGTGCATCGCCGCTTGCGCCACCATTCCGGCTAAAGAGCGGCGGTGGCGGGCCCTGAGGTGAGCCTGGCGCCGCCTCCGCCTCGCGCTCACTGCGGCCTGCCCCCCCGCTGCCAGTGGCGCTGTTGCCATCGAGACCGCCGCCATCGCGTGGCGCGAGCGACGACTCTCTGCTAATGGCCCCAGCAAATATCGAGCCTGTGGGTGAGTAAGAGCCCCAGTATTCATTGATGTCAACCTCCGACCCATTCGCCCCCGACCGCCTGCCCCCGCTGCTCGTCATACGCCGAGGCACAGAGTGCGCCGCGGGCGGCGGCGGCGGGCTCGCCTCTGGCTGCGGCCGAGGGGCGGCTGCCGCCGTCGCCACTGCCTGCGCGGCTGCCGCCGCCGCCGCCGCCGCTGCTGGCGGCTGTGGGGGCGACGGGCCGGTGGCGCCGCCCGCCCTGGCTCCACCGAGCAATATGCGCAGCTTAGTCAGTAGGTGCGAAGCGTTGTCGAACGAGGCGCTGCGCCGTGCCGCCGGCTTGCCCGTCGCCGCCGGCCCCGGCAGAGCCTCTTCCTCGACGCCCTCTCCGATTGGGCCCGGACGCAGACGGCCCTCCGGGCCGCTGGTTGCGCCAGGCCGCGCCGTCCCTGTGCCCGGCGGCGCCGCGGCGCCGCCGGGACCCCGGGCTTCTGCTGAAAGGGAGCGCCCGCTGCCGCGGCCGCAGTCCTTTCTGGGGCTCAATGGCGAGCGCGAGCGCCGCCGCCGCGCACGCGCGACAGACGCCCGAAGCTCCCACCAAGGGCGCCGCGGCGCAGCGACGGTGCCGCTGGGGGCCTGCGACCGGGCATGGGCAAGCGAGGCCGCGACCGCCGCGGCCTCGGCCTGCCGCCTGTCTAAGAAAGCGGCAAGGTACGGGCGCGGAGCCCGGATGCCGCCGCCGCCGCCGGCGTTTGCGGTGCGTCGGGCTGGGGTTTCAGCTCGAACTCCAGTTTGACCTGGAGACGTGCTCCGGCAGCCGGCGCTGCTGGTGGTTGGCAGCTGCTGCGCGCCATCCGCGCGCGCGTGTAGCAGTCGCTGCCCACGCCCAAGCTCTGCGGGCGCCGCAGGGCGCTGCCGCGTGGCGCCAGCCGCGCGCGCGGCCGCCTCCATGAGCGCGCGCACGTGCTCGCTAAGCGGCTCGGGGGACGGGCTGGGCGGGGGCGGGGGCAGCAGCGGCGACGGCGAGCGCCGCTGATGCTGCAGCTCGAGGCACTGGCGGCGGCTGTAGAGGCAGGCAAAGGCAGGGTCGCTGCTTGTGCAATTGGCGAGAGCGCCGTCGCTAGCTGCGGCTGCGTGCCGCTGCGCAGCATCTCCATGGCCTTCCTGCTTGGCAGCCGTGCTTGCCGCCAGCGCCGCTCCCTTTGGGCTGTTCTCTGAAGCGTTCTGCATGGCCGCTGGAGCCGTGGAGACACCGTGCCTTGCTCCCACTGCTCCCTCGGCCCCATCAAGCGCCCAGCCCCCGCGGCCGCCGCAGCCTCTGCTTGGGGATTGCTGCCGGCCCACAGACCCGGCCGGCAGGGCGCCAAAGGCGCGCTCGTAGCCGCTGAGCGACGTGGGCAGTGCCGAGAAGCGGTGACTGCCCGGCGCAGACGAGAAGCGCGGCGCCGCGGCCCGCGGCGTCGGCAGCGGCAGGGCTGCCAGATGGGGCCCGAGGCTGAGGCGGCGGGCTGAGGCGTACGCGCTGGAGGTTTCGCGTGACAGGCCCGCGTCGTGTGGCTGCTGCTGCTGCTGCCGGTGCTGGTGCTGCTGCGAAGGCTGCTGGTGCTGTGAAGGCTGCTGCTGCTGCTGCGACGGCTGCAGGTGCCGCGGGCTGGGCCCCGGCGACGCGGCCCGGAAGAATTGCTCGAGCGATATTGTGAGGGGGCTGTTGAGCGTGTCGCACCGCGGCAGCCAAAAGTCGTCGAGGTGGCAGCTGCCATCTGCCTGCACCGCTGCCTGCGCGCTCTGCTGCGCGGCGAGCATCCTCTGCTGCTGCTCGAGCACTGCCGCCGCCGCCGAGCTGCCGCGGGGCTCCTCGGGCGCGGCGGGTTCGTGAATGGCCGCCAGGGCCGCACGCGCGGCCTCTAGCAGCCCGCCAGGAGCGGCGCCTTGGCTCAGAACAGCTGCTGCCTTGCGCCGCTCCCAATCATGCGCTGCGAGGGCCGCAGGCCCGGGCGCCGCCTGCTCGCCAGGGGCGCTATCGTCCGCAGCTGTGGCGCAGCGCCAGACGGCCGCATGCAGCGCCTCGCGAGCCTCGGTGGTGCTGGTGGCAGCCGGGCTCACCAGCGGGTGGGTGAAGCATGCTTCAATCGTGGGGAGCGAGCACCTGCATGCAGGCGTTGGGTGGCGGCGCGGGCGAGTAGTCACATGAGTCGGTGCACGAGTTGCTTGGACACAAATTGAGGCTTGCTGCAGCCACCCTGACTGCTTCTCAACCAGCAACCCTTGCTCATAACTTGTTGCGCTCCGTCGCTTCCAAAGTGTGCCTCGCACCTCAAGTGCCCCACATAGTCACATCCAATGCCCATCGCCGCGAGCGCCGCCTCAACAATCGGCCCAAGCCCCTTCGAAGCAGCAGCCCTTTCTGCAAAGACGCCTTCCAAACGGCGCAAGAAGCTGCGGCGCAGCTGCTCATGCGGCGGCGGCGCGCCGCCGCCGTCGAGCGGCTCGTCCTGGGTGCTCTCGTGCACGCCCTCGCCTTGTCCCAGCTCGCCCGCCGCCGCCTGCTGCAGCAGGCGACACATGGTCGCCGCAGGCCTCGGAAGTGCCCCGCCAGGCAGCAACGCCATCTGCAGCTCGACGCGCCGCAGCTCAGCAGCAGAGGCCTGGCAGCTGGCGAGGGCCGCGAGCACCCCGTTCTGCACCTGCTGTGGCGCGTGCACACCGTCGGCGGCCAGGAGCGCGGCGGCGAACGCGCAGGGCGCCGCGCCGACGCCGTCCAACGGCCCTGCCCCCGCGGCCGCGGCTGCCGCCAGGCCTTGGCGGGCATGAAGCAACCATGCAATTGCCACGAGCCGCGGCAGTGCGTCCGCCTCCCCAGCGTTGTGCCCAGTCCGCTCGCCTCCGTCCTCCTCTCCCTCCTCGTCCCACGGCGGCAGCGCGCGCTCTGTGGCTCCGACCGCGCCGGCGGCCGCTACTGCAGCCTGCCACTGGCCCTGCAGTGCCGCAGGCTTCCCCTGCCCGTCTGCAATGCTGCCGTCCTGCAAAATTTGCATCATTGCCAGTGCGATGCTGAAAATATCAACCTGCAGTGCGGCATCCTCCATCTGCGCCTGCAGGTCGCCCACGGCCCCGACGGGGTTAGCCGCCGCGGCGTCGGAGCAACCGCGCTGGAGGGCCGCCGGCCGCTCCCGCACCGCCAGGAGCGCCTCCTGTGCCTCCGCTGCCTCGAGGACGCCGCCGGCCTGCAGCAGCTGCAGGGCCGCGCCCACGGCCGACGCGCCGCCCTGCACTACTCTGCTCTCCTGACGCTTCAACACCTGAGCGCGCGCGCGTGAGAGTGGACGTGAGAATGAACGTTGCAGCAGGTCCGCGCCACAAGCCAGCTGAAGAATGGTGCATGAGGCAGCCCACCAAGTGCAGAGAATCGCACAGAACAGCGTACGCTTGCTCATGGAAGCTGCGGCTTGCTGCCCTGTGGTGCCCCACCCACCTCCGATATGACGTCATCAGCGTCCCGCATCCTCGGGCGGCTCCACAGCAGCAGCTGGGTCAAGTACCGCACCTCATCCCTCCGCAGCAATCCGCGCACAGAGCTGCCGCAGCCGCCAGCCCCGATCGCGCCGCCACCAGCCCCGTTCCTGCTTCCGAACGCGTCGCCCGCTGCTGTGGCGACCAGCACACGCACGAGCATCCGTGCGAGGGTGCCGCGCAGCCCGCGCGCCGCCTCGCCGGCGGCGCCGCCGTCCGGCACGAGCGGGGCGGCGCGCAGCCTGAGGCACGCCGCCCTCCACAGCAGCGCCTGGGCCTGTGTCGCGACGGCGTGCGCCCAAAGCTGAGCTGCGAGTGCCACAACAGGCTCACCCTGATGCTGCTGGTACTCCTGGGTGCTTCCCATGCGGTAAGCTTAAACTGCTTCCGTGGCACCCAGTCTCCCCTGCCACCAGTCGCCCTCGGCCTAGAGGAGTGCTGCACTCACAGAAATGTCACATGCGAGTCGCGTCCTCCCTCATCTGGAATACACGCCTCACCTGCTGCTCAAGCTTCTTCGGCCGCTCGTCGCCCTGTTTGCTCCACAGCCGTCGCCCCGCTGCCACCGCGGCTGCCACCCCCCGCGCGAGCACTGGGAGTGGCGCCCCCTCCTGCTCCTCAATCCGACCCCACAAGACATCCCTGGGATTGGAGGGCCCAGGAGCCGGAGAGCAGCCGTTAGATACCTTATGCCATTTCCATCACCACACCCAATCCGAAAAAAAACGAGGGTTCATGCACATCAGATTGCGCTCATCGACCAACTGCAGCTGGGGGTGCACTCTGCAGCGGACGCCCCACCCACCAGCTCTGCTGCGCAAATGCTCCCACGACGTTGGCTCCCAGCCCAAGGCTCCTCGCCGCCACCTCCGCCTCGCACGCCAGCACCGCGCCGCGCAGCCACCCCCCGGTGCCATCGCCGCCGTCCTCGCCACCGTCGTCGGCGGGGCCACCGGCCAGCGACAGCAGGGCGGTGACCTGCGGGGCCAGCGCCTGCAGCAGCGCCTGTGGCCTGCACGGCGGCCGCGAGAGGGCCGCGGACACCAGCGCCAGCCCCGCCGCCCTGGGTCCAAGACCGCCCAAGGCGGCGGCCTCCCGTGCTGGGCTGTCCGAGGGCGCGCGGTCCCGTGCGTCCGCTGCCGCCGCAAAGGCTGCGATCAGGGGGCCGACGCTGAGTCGCATGAGGTGGCCGGCGCGCCACTGTGTGGGTTGCTCATCCGCCGGCTGCCCCTGCAGGAGAGGGTGGCGGCGAGGAATGGACATCGCACCCGCTGCTATGGACCGCCAACAAGGCAGCTGGAATGGATGATTGTGCAGAAACTTGCCCGCCCGGGTCCCCTTGCGCCCTCTTCTCACCTGGGACTCCGCAAGGCTGGCTAGCTGCGCCGTCCAGTAGAGAGGTGTGGGGAATAGCGCGCTTTGCCGGGCGGCCGCCGCCTCTGCTGCCACGCCAGCTTGCGCCTCGCCCTCTGCCGCCGCCGAAGCCGCAGCCGCTATCAGCTGGGAGGCAGCGCAACCCAGCTGCCCAATGGCCGCCGCCAGCACGCGCCACAGCGCGCGCTCAGGGCCGCCGCAGCTGGTGGCGCCGCTGCCTTCGGGCCCCTGGCTCGCCCCGTGCGGCTCGGCGCCCAGGCAGCCGGCAATGGCCTCTCTCAGCAGTTGAAGAGCATCCTGGGGCCTTTGTTGATGCAGCAGCACCTGCTTGTTGCCATTTGGAAGAGCCACCAACAAAACAAATTATACAAGCGGTACGCAGAGGGCACGGGACCAGTTGCAGGGGCCCGCAGCGCTAAAAGCCTTGGCCACGGTTGGTGGCATGCGCCGGGTCCGATGCAGCTATGCAGCAGGGCCCGTCCCGCGCGAGCGTGCTCTGCCATGCAGCTCCGGAGCCCTCGGCGTTTGCACGGACGCAGCATAACTGACACACGCCCCCACTGGTGGCGCCACGACCCACCGATACGAGGTGCCCATAGCTGAACGGCAGCAGCGCGCGGTAGGCCGCCTCGCACGCCTCCCACTCCCCGCGCAGGAAGGCGGCGTCGCCCCCGGACAGGCGCCGCCACACGCCCGCCAGGGCTGGGCCCGCGGCACCCACCGCGCCAGCACCCGCGCTGCCCCGACCAGACGGTGCAGGCACTGGCTCTCCAGACGTGGCCGGATTGAAGACAACTGGTATGTCCAAACCTTGAAGCCTGTCGCCACTGGCAGCCGACGCCGCCTGTCTGACGCCGCCGACAGCACGATCAACTGCGCAGCCGAGGGCAGCCTCCGAGCCCGCCGCCGCCCCGCCGCCGGCCGGCCGCGCGGCGGCGCCCTCTCGCGCCGCGAACGGCAGCCGCACGATCACAGCACCGTCCGCGCCGAGCTGCGACGCGTCGCTGGCGCTCGGCTCCAGCGGCCGCCCGCCGCCGGCGGCCTCCGCGGCAGCGGCGTCGCCCCATGCGTCCATATACAGCTTGCGCGCTCGTGGCGTCAGCGTCATGTCGACCGCGTGATGACTGGGGTCCACGCCGTCATGGCAGTTGCAGATTACGGCGTCCCTGCCGTCCCAGATCACCAGGCGGCCCGAGCA